TGGTCCAGATTTTCTTCTTTAAAGGCGCTATCCAAGGTGCTAAAACTTGTAACGTTCAGAATAACAACCAGAGCGAATTCACTGCCCCCATGACATTGGGGTCACCACCCTGACCAGTGCCAATGGGACAAGAACGGCTACTTCCCATGCTGTGGACTCAAGACTTCTGCCAAGCCAAAACATCGAGGTGTCTGGGGTTCACTGTATCAGTCAAGATGGAGCCTAAATTCAGAACCTAAATTTACAAGCCGTAACACAAATAATTGATTGTGATGAGATCAAGAGGAGTCTCAGAACCCTCAAGATGGGCTGCATTGCACCAAAGACTCTCTTTTATAGCCAAGACTATGTAGTATCACAATTTGGCTAATTTGTTTGGAAAAACTGCAACTGGTTCCTTGTCTCCCAATTTGATGAGGGTCATGGGCTTGACGAAATTCAATCCATTTTTGGAACCAGTTTCCAGCCGTGTAACTGTGCCACACTTTTGCAATAGAACATGTATTTTAAAGATTGAGAGTATCTCTGTTCATGATTATGCTTTGCTCTGTCTTATACATTCTAGTGATTTTGATTTTACTTTTGTCATGATTCCAACTCCCTCTCCCCATTTCCTAAATTCTATTTTAACGCTTGATCCGACCCCGCAAATTGATTGTCTTCTCCTCTTCTGTGTTTTAAAAATATTATTGTGAGCCTTTTGTATCTTCCTCTGGCAGAAGAAAGCATATGAATGCAATAAATAAATTCAATAATCTTACAACCAGCTGTTTACTTGACTGGATTAGTTCCAAGTCCAATTCACCATTATTTAGTTTGCTACCGAACATCTGGAATTGGACCATCTGCTTGTGGAGCCAGGGATTCATGAGTTCAAATTCCCACTGTACCTCCTAGAAGAGGGGCCAGCTGGGATCATCCACAGCATGTGTATGTCCTTAATGGAGTATCTGCCCTGCCACCCGTGTGACCTTATGTCATGAGTGCTTCCGAAGATCTGGACCCGGAAGGGTTAACTGTGGCTGAGGAGAATGTGACAGGTCTCAAATCAACCTTTAGGAATTGTTCACTGCAATTCAGTAGATAAGTTATGACAGGACCAGAATTTAGTGAGCAACATGTACCAAAGTAATACAGCTGGGTTAATTGAGACAGCTGTGGGACAACCAAGTTGATTGGAGCAACCAAGAATAAAGCTAGCCAAGCTAGCAGACACAAGTTGTTGGGTAGTTGGTGGTTGTGTAGTTGAGAGCTGTTTATTTGGTTGATAAGTTTCATTGATTGTGAAAGAAATTTATGCTGCATCGCTGGATGAAGACTTGCTACATTGCAAGAGGAAGGTCCTGGAGGAAGACTATCTCCGTGGTGAGAGGAGAAGACTTCGTGGATGCTGGACTATTTATATTGGTAACAATCTTTGGATACTGAACCTGTAATTTACTATTGCAAACTGAAGAACTACTGTGAAAGACCAAGACTGTGTAAAGACCAAGAGAAGTTGTATTTGTACCTGTATATATGAACTTTAATGTAAATAATTCTA